CATACACATTTTGCTTCCATCTATTGACATGTCATTAAATTGGATATTTTCACAAATTTGTAAGTGTCCATCAAAGATGGCGCTCATTTTCACTCATATCGAGTACTTTTGATAGGTAAGGTATCGATACTTTTGCAAAATAAAAGTAAACAAAACAAACAAAACATTCGTTTTGATACGCACTTTTTTTTTGACCATTTGACTTGCTTATTGTCCTTTTTTGTCGATTTTTAGTATCTTCAGCCTTTTTCATTACTAGTCTACTTTCCTTGTGATATCTTTTCATCAATTGTGACTGGTATTCAACAATTTGAAAAGAGATTTTTAAATTTATCATTAACCTTCTTAACAAGTAAGTTGCGTTTTGCCAGATTGTTTACTTTCATGTGTATTTCCATTTCGTTTTAATTAGAATTGTGGTTATATACTTTCTTTTTTTCTAGGTTCCATTGTACTTCAACATTTAAATTTTATTGCCATCTAAAGCACTATCCAACCATTTTCTGTGCCTATCTTTGCTCTTAATTGGTTATAATTCCGTTTATTCCACTTTTTCCACTATTGTGATTTTAATTCTTTATCTACCATAATGAGTAAAGTTGATGAAGTAGATTACTACACCTTTCACAATCATCCCCAACAAGGATCTTCTGGTTATTTATTGGACTCAGATGAATCCAGTTCCAATCCGGCCTGGGTAGAAAAGCGGCAAAAGTTAATTAATCACCTATCAAACGACCTTGCAATTGCTCCTGAAGATGCTGATGATTTTGATGCTCTTAACGATGAAACTTTCGGAGCTGCAACCTTCGACGAAGATTGGGAACATCAACATGAAAAAATGGCCTCATTGATTTCTGGGCCTTCTCAATACCAATCGCCTGCTGGCTTATCAGGCATGCATAATCAACCACACACGACGACATCACCTTCCCCTCATCAACCATCTTCATCTCAATTTTTAAATCAAAACAATCTTCCCTGTTTCGACTCGAGTAAAGTTCTGGACTGTCAAACCATTGAACAGGGAATGCACAATTTGTCTACATCATCCAGAGCAATTCCTCCAGAAGCAAATAGTAGACAAAAAACGAGCCCAAACAGCAATTTTTTCGGCAAAACTTCATTGGAAAACCCTTTCAATAATGCACCAATTAGATCAACAGAATCAATTTGGAATACTGATCTTGCATCTACAAAACTTAATCATAACGATAACACTAATATTCAAATGACGTCACCTATTTTGATGGCCAATGTTGTAAGTTCATCTATGTGTGCACCTGCTGAATCATCTTCAGTAAATCAACCGCGACAAATAATTGAAAATGATGAGAATTCCTCTTCCAGGCCTGTTATAAAAAGACCAGTTAGAGCAGAGATTTAGAAGCTATGCTGTTGAACTCCGACGTCAATCGTAAAATTCTACTTCGACAGAAAATCTACACCAAAAGCTTCAGAAAGTATTTGAAAAATGAAAACAATGATAGT